TTCACCCAAAAATGAAAATTCTGTCATTAATAACTCACCCTCATGTCGTTTCAAACCCGTAAGACCTTCGTTCATCTTCAGAACACAAATTAAGATATTTTTGACAAAATTTGAGAGCCCTCTGACCCTCCATAGACAGCAAGGGTCCTACAACGATCAAGGTCCAGAAACATAGCAAAGCCATCGTTAATATACTCCATGTGACATTAGTAGTTCAACCATCATTTTATGATGCTACCAGAATACTTTTTGTGCGAAAAGGAAAAAAAATTACGACTTTACTTAATTTCTTCTCTTCCGTGTCAGTCGCCTTGTTTACAAGCAGAAGAAGACGCACGCTGTACATAAAACAGTCTAAGTAAACATGTCTGAAAATTTTGACAGAGGATGACTTGCAATTTTTTGCCCAGCCTTACTTTTTTGAACCAGAACAGAGGATAAACTAAGAGAGATGGACGTTCTACATCAGAACGCCTGCTCCGGCACACTCATGCGCCGTGATACTCTTGTGAACGCGCATCGACGGAGACTGACACGGAAGAGAAGAAATGGTTGAATACAGTCATTATTTTTGTTTTCTTTGCACACAAAAAGTATTCTGGTAGCATCATAAAATTATGGTTGAACCACTGATGTCACATGGAGTATATTAACGATGTCCTTACTACCTTTCTGGGCCTTGAATGTGTCAGTTGCGTTGCTGTCTATAGAGGGTCAGAAAGCTCTCGGATTTCATCAAATATATCTTCATTTGTGTTCTGAAGATAGGCAAAGGTCTTACGGGTTTGGAACAACATTTTTGGGTGAATTATTCCTTTAACTATTTCAATTCAGATGATTAAAATGATAAATAGTCATCGTCTGCAACTTCTGCGAATCTGACACTATATATTTGGTACGGAAAGTATTCAGACCCCCTTAAATTTTTCACTCTTTGTTATATTGCAGCCATTTTGTCTTACCTTTTAAGTTAATTTTTTTTCCTCATTAATGTACACATAGTATATCTATTTTATAACTCAAATTTACAATAAACTGACTTTTTATTAGAAAAATAATAATGGACGTCTGTCTTACCTTCTCCAGTAAATAGCCAATAACCAGGAAGCCTTTTCCGCCCAACATCTGCTCTTGCATGGCTACTGAACTCTTCAACAACTCCACTAGAAAAGCTAGGAGAGTGGCACTGCAAGCAGAAATGAAGAAATACATTTAAATATGTAGCAGTTGTGAGAGAACAGAATCAGGATACAATGCATAAGGGGTTCAACCTGCATTTCTAACATGAGCACCAAGGCTCAACACATCCGCAGGACAGTCACCAAACACTAAACCACAACTCCAACATTGAATACACTCTTAAAAACAAAGGTTTCAAATGAAGCTTTCAGATCAGTTCTTCAAAGAACCATTTTGTTTTAGTGTGAAGAACATTTTCAAATCTAAAGAATTGTTTTCCAAGGTTCCATGGATGTTAAAGGTTCTTCTTGGAACCATCAATGCTGATAAAGAACCTTTATTTTTAAGAGTGCACATTTCTTATGGTAGCCGTATGTTTAAGGACACCTCAAGGGCAAGATCGTATCTCAATGAGCAGTATAAAACGAAAAATGTACACACACACGCACATAATGATGGTTTCCCTTCCTTGAAGCAATATCATCATTCCAGCAAACACAAATTATGTCTTAGTTTCTTAAATGACGTAGTTGAGGCAGTGAGATTGCAGATGAAATCCTCAGAGTGTCTCTTTCTCTTTCTAAACTGCCATAAGCCGACGGATGGCCCGGTGACCTCACCCATCTCCCCACAGACAGTAAACCCCAGCGGGGAACATTACCACTGATCGATACCCCACAGATCTCTGCTCCGCTGATTATGCCTGCCAGCTCACTGCTGATTTCTAATCTAGTCGCCATGCCTGGGAGCTCACCGTGCAGAACCAAGCGATGACCTGAGAAATGAGGGTACGACCATACCAGCCTCTCATCCCTCTTTGAGGGGTCTCTCTCTCATTCCTAGTGTCTATGTGAACATGAATGTCATGAATCTCTCAAAATCCCACGCTCTCTCTGTCACGCTCTATTTCTATCCGAGAATGACAGATTCCATTTATAATTCATGGCAGACGTCCCTGTCAGTGACTGACTTGAGTTTTAGTCTCCATTATGGCAGCAACTTATTATTATCAAATACAAAACTAGAAGCTATGGACCTAGGGCCTAGGGAGGGCCATGCAGACACTACTTTGACATTTACAATACAGATAATTCCTCAGTCTCACATTGGTTGGACAAACAGATGTAGTGTACAGTATAGCAGTCCCCCAAATTCACACAATTGTAAACATTTTAAGCATTTTAGGTCAGTGGATTGAATGTCAAACATGACCTTGGTGAAGTAGTAATGTTTGTAGTTGGAAAGCATGGGATATTGGGTTCTATACTGCCCTACTTGCATATTAAAGTAATATTTTAGTTTATGCTTTTATTTCAAAAGTCTTTTTATTAGTGCTGTCAAACGATTAATTGTGATTAATCGCATCCAAAACAAAAGTTTTGGTTTACATTATATATGCATGTGTACTGTGTATATTTATTATTTATATATAAACACACACACATACAGTATATATATTTTTAAATATTTACCTTTTATTTTGGATGTAATTAATCGCGATTAATCGTTTGACAGCACTACTTTTTATGTTTTCAAAAGAAATCTCTTTTGCTCATCAAGGTTGCATTTATTTTATTAAAAATGCTGTATTCAGTAATATTGTGAGATATTTAAATTTAAAATAACCATTTTCTATTTTAATATATTTGAAAATGTAATTTATTCCTGTGATGGCAAAGCTGAATTTTCAGCATCATTACTCCAGTCTTCAGTGTCACATGATCCTTCAGAAATCATTATAACGTGCTGATTTGGTGCTTAAGAAACATTTCTTATTATTATCAATGCTGAAAACAGTTGTGCTGCTTTTGTGGAAACTTGTATGTATTTGCTTTTCAGGATTCTTTGATGAACAAAAAGTTAAAAAAGAACAGCATTCAAACTGAAATCTTTTGTAACATTATAAGTATCTTTACTGTTACTGAATAAAAGCTTTGATTACTTAAAAAAAATAAATAAATAAATAAATACCCCAAACTTTTGAACGGTAGTAGTTCCTGTATGTTAACCTGGGATTTATTCCTGTGATGGCAAAGCTGAATTTTCAGCATCATTACTCCAGTCTTCAGTGTCACATGATCCTTCAGAAATCATTATAACGTGCTGATTTGGTGCTTAAGAAACATTTCTTATTATTATCAATGCTGAAAACAGTTGTGCTGCTTTTGTGGAAACTGGGATGTATTTGCTTTTCAGGATTCTTTGATGAACAGAAAGTTAAAAAAGAACAGCATTCAAACTGAAATCTTTTGTAACATTATAAGTATCTTTACTGTTACTGAATAAAAGCTTTGATTACTTAAAAAATTTTTTTTTTAAAAATACCCCAAACTTTTGAACGGTAGTAGTTTCTGTATGTTAACCTGGGATAGAAAAGAGCAGTGTAGAAAAAAAGTAGAATATTCTCTTATAGATATAAATGGCATATGATAAGTTAAAAATGAAGATTGAATGAACCCTGAGAGTTGCAATTGTAAATTTAGCTCTGTGGATCTGCGGTCTGTGTGGTCAATACTCACCAGACGGTCGTCTCCACAGGGCTGTCGTTAGGTTGCCTGTAGTCCAGCTGTGAGAAGAGCGGGAAGAGAACTTGGATTCCTCCAATAGAGTGGATGGCGCTGTGGATGGAGTGAGTGACGATGGCCTTCACATCCTGCATACACAAACAAAAATGCCCACTTGCTTATTAGAAAACTGGGTAGGAAAGTTTCATAGAAGGTGATAATGCATTATATATATAATGCAGTATACGATCAGTTGTATGATGATAATAAGCTGCATGTTGTGCCTTCAGCCTCACAATATGTGCTTATATTTTCTGTTACATCCATGATATGTCAACCTCATCGTCCTTATTATGAAGATATTAGTTGGGATTTTTAGATAAGTTGCCTCATTTTAAGAAGGTAATGAAAAAAAGGGCAAATTCATTTAATACATGTATGTTTAAATAGAATATGGTTCTTTCTACATCAAAACACTTTTCACATAAAAAAAAAAAACTTACAGTAAACTAAATCGAAAATTACATGGACATGTTTAACTATTTAATCAAAAACATTTCCTCTCTACATAAATATTTTTTTTTTTTCAGTTTTGTAACCTGTTTTTTGCTGGCCAACTTCCCATCATACAGAACCTGCTTATGGTGCTCCGCCAGGTGGATGTCGCTTTCCGACTTGAACTTAAACGTGCTCTGTGAAGACAGAGAAACATATAATTGAGCAACATCCTTCAAATTAAGTTCTCTCACATTTAGCTTCTCTTTCAGTCTCTCTTGGCAGCAGACTCGTGGAAAGCACCAGGGACCGGGTCGCATCCCAGAGGACTGATAGTGGTAATAATAATAATAAAAAGCTTTAATTTCTGAGTCACAGAGCAGCCACACACACACACAGGCGTACATTATCTTAATGAAGCTCTGTCTATCGAAAATTACATGGACATGTTTAACTATTTAATCAAAAACATTTCCTCTCTACATAAATATTTTTTTTTTTTCAGTTTTGTAACCTGTTTTTTTCCCCCCAGAACTCAAGAATCAGTAAAAAAAAAAGCAGAGATAAACATAAGTTATGTGTGTGTGAGAGTAAAAACTGACCTGCAGCATCAGGGCATGTGGCGAGTGCACAAATATGGAGGGGTTTTCCCTGGGCGAGGACTCCAGGCACAGCTGTGCGTCGGTGGCTTTAGCGTTGTAGGTGAAGCCTATGCTGCTGGCCAACTTCCCATCATACAGAACCTGCTTATGGTGCTCCGCCAGGTGGATGTCGCTTTCCGACTTGAACTTAAACGTGCTCTGTGAAGACAGAGAAACATATAATTGAGCAACATCCTTCAAATTAAGTTCACATACATTTAGCTTCTCTTTCAGTCTCTCTTGGCAGCAGACTCGTGGAAAGCACCAGGGACCGGGTCGCATCCCAGAGGACTGATAGTGGTAATAATAATAATAAAAAGCTTTAATTTCTGAGTCACAGAGCAGCCACACACACACAGGCGTACATTATCTTAATGAAGCTCTGTCTGCAGAAATGTGCTATTTCACTAATGGCTCTAAACGTAAGTGTGAGTCGGTATGAGCATGTGTGTGTAAATGTGCATGCATCTGCAAAATCTCTCTCATGTAAAGCACTTTGTGTCAGTAGTCATCTACTCATCTGAGGGAGTGAATGAGAGACTTGCATAAGATCATGCAGAATTTCCTGACCGTGCATGACTGGACTTTCAACTCACCATTTGATTTGCTTTTTTTCCACAATAATTTATATATTTATACATCAAGATAGATGGCCAATTTAAAGACATATAACATCAAATTCAACCCTATTTACTTTCATAAGTGTTTTAATTTTTTTTTAAACATATTTTTATTAATAAATAAACAAATACATAAATGAATAAACAACATAAAAATACTATAATAAATACACAATAAATAACATTAAAAGAAATACTCAAATAAATATTATAAATAAGTAAATTTAATCTTTTCTTTGCTAATGAAGTAACTAAGGTCAAGTAAGAGAGAAAAAATATTAACCAGTAATATAAATCTGAAATGCCTCTCCTTCCACTTGTCATCCAAAAACCAATCAAATCCCAATGTATAAAATCCCATCCCACATTATGTCTCACAGAATATTCAGTTTTATTATATTATGTGAATATTATGTGAGACATAATGCCTTAATAACCTGTATTTGGATTTTATTCAATATTGTGTTTAAATTACATCAAAAACCACAGTATAAAAGTATACGGGACTGATGAATATTATGCAAATATATTGGTATGCACATAATCAATAAAATCTTCAACATCTAACTGCCTCATGAGTCTACAGCAGCACTTCTGAACAGAAAGGACAGATGCATTAGTAATGAGAGATGCATAAACACAGTCACACTCACGGAGCAATTCTTCAAAAAACAGTACGATGCAAATAAGCCCTTGCACTGGCACTGTGATTCACTGCAGTTTCCTCAGGCCTGCTGCCAATGTGTCCACTTAGCAACACTCTGACTGGCACTGAGCGCAGCATCAAGACTTCTCTACCAGACTCTATTCACACACCCGCACACCAGACCAAAATACACACACAACTAACATAACTAGCTCACTAAATAGGAACATACAGCCTTCTATTAAGAACAGCATAAGACGTTTTATCATGCAGAGTCTAAAAGCTAAATCACAGCATGCTATGAGCACAATAATTAAAGCATCAAAACTTAAAATATATACAAAAATAAAAACAACAATTCTGAAATATCAAATAAATAATTTAAATAAATAATAAAATAAACAACAATAACAACAATACCTATAACTATCCAAATAATAATAAAACTATAAGACAAATTGTAGTAAAACTATAATAAACTAATATTAAATAAATATTTACATGTATAGGCCTACATACTGTAGCATTTTTTATCCAAAAACAAGTCAGAGTCAACAATATTCATAATATAAAATGCCAGGTTTATTAGACAACTAGATTAGGACAATAGATAAGGACAACTAGATTATAAATAAATAAATAAAAACAACAACTATATAAACTAACAATAAAATTATAATAAAACTCAAGAAAATAAATAAATATTTTCATGAAGTTTCTCAAATACAACTTTCTTTGCTGATGATGAAACCATGGCCATGTAAGAGGGGAAAATATTAACCAATAATCCATTTTATTAGTATTTTTTTGCCTTTTTCATGGATAGGACAGTAGAGAATGACAGGAAAGTGTGGGCTGGAGATTTGGGAATGGGATTGGCAAAGGACCACTAACCACTAGGCTATCAGCACCGACACCAATAATTAATATTAATATAAAATAATAACCAAGTATGCTGTTAGCATACTAATTAAAGCATCAAAACTAAAAAAAAAAAGTTTTGAATTCAGATTTAATGAATAAATATATCTCTATATATAATATAAAGTACAAAAACTAAGTACACAATAAATAAACAAACAGCATATAAATATACAGTAGTTAATTGCCTATGCGGCTAGCCGGTTGTTTTATGACCATCAAATCCACCAACATGACTCATCTCTATTTTTAACCACTTTTCCCTGAGAACATCCCAAAAAGGATGTTCTATCATATTCATCTAACTTCTGCAGACATATTGCATCAAATTTGTACGAAAAGTGTAGTTCATAATCTCAAACACTATACAAAAAGAGAAATAGACCATTAATATTATCACGCAGTCAGTCGGCATGAGCACAATATGTAATCTGGCCCAGTGTTCCGGCACGTTCACATGGCATTCATCTTGTCCGTCACGCAGGGCACAGGAGCACGGCAAACTCAAGCAGCTGTCTGGGAATCGGGTCACTGCTTCGACACACCCTATGGCTGACAGCCCATGCTGCAAAGCTAGCAGTTTTTCCTTGCTGTCTCTCTCCCTTTTGCTCCTCGCAATCCCATGAGAGGACAGCTACACCAGCGGCAGCGACAGAGACTAACAGCACTGGAATTAAGCAGAGCCTTCATACACTGATGATCTATATAACTTACAAACACAAACACACACACAAAGTCGCCAGTCCAGAAGGCTCTCTTTGCGACAATGCCAAGTGCCCCATACCTCACATGCTAATTACCACGGCAATGCACAGCCAGAAAGCAGCTTGTTGGCTGTCACATGCTGACCAGACATCTGGACTTCCTCTGGTATAGGGACCACATCAACCAGCAGCAGCAGTAACACACACTCACATCCAGACTTTCACAGACAAACTGACAGATAAGGACAAAATGAGCAACAGATATATGAGCACACACACATTCTGGCCTCAAATTTCCAGATATATTCCATATATGTTGCATGCATGTAATAATTGGCTTCATATGACTCGACATGGCATGCTATCATTCTGTTTATACTAGTTTTGTATTATGCAGTATGTGTATTATGCAGAACCTGTGCATTTTATGTATGCATGAATGCATGAATGCCTGCTACATTTGCAAAAATGTGCATTATATATGCAGTAAACAGAGCATACTCTACACCAGTGTTTCTACACCAGTGTTTCTGGTCCTGGGCGCCCCCCAGCACTGCACATTTTGTGTGTCTCCCTAATCAAACACACCTGATTCAACTCATTAGCTCATTAAAAGAAACTCCAGGACCTGAAATGGGTGTCAGATAAGGGAGACATAAAAAATGTGCAGTGTTGGGGTGCGCTAAGGACCAGGGTTGAGAAACACTGCTCTACACTAAATCCCAGAATGCAATGCACTGTATGTCCCTTGACCTTTATTTCAAAACTGACCAATCAATAATTCCTACCATCCTTGACTCATTATTTGATCATACTTCCAAGTTGACATATTCACATGAAATTAAATTGACAATGCAAGAATGTTTTCACCAGATGGTGTTTGTTCCATCATGCAATCTACTGAGGTCATTTGACAACAGTGTACAGTAGCATACTCCTGCTTGAAATATCATCTTTGCATAATGCATACTGTTTCATATACAAGAGGTTAGACTGAACGTGCAATGAAGTCATGTGACAGTAATATTGCATATTACTTGCAGTATCTATAACCTTTATTGCTACATGTTGCATATATAAAGACATTTATAATCTCCAAATAAGCATATTAAAATGATTTCTGAAGGATCATGTGACACTGAAAACTGGTGTAATGATGCTGAAAATTCAGCTTTCCCATCACAGGAGTAAATTACATTTAAAAATATATTAAAATGGTAAACAGCAGTTATTTTAAATTCTAATAATATTTTATAATAATAATAATGTTTTAGTGTATTTTAATAAAATAAATGCAGCCTTGGAGAGCATAATAATTTTTTAAAAACTTTTTTGTGCCCCTCGTTGATGATCTGGGCCCGTGTTGGCTAATTGTGAATCACATGACTTCATTTGCATGTTTTCAATATGGTGACAGCAGGAGGAATGACTGATGCTGCACAGACATAAGGTAACCTGTACTAGTGGACTAGTAAAAATAAAGCAGTGACCTGTATAAAAAAAAAGATGCTTGCATTAAAAATCCACATCAAGTTTTATATCAATAATGTAAAACATTCATTGCATACATCAGGTCTGAGGTCTCTTAAAGGCATCTTCATGACAGAGCGTCACACACACACACACAGCCCATGAATAATCCACACTCTCTGCTCTCTTGATTTTTCTTCTATAGTTGGAGTGAGCTGCAATCAGGCGCCCAGGAACTTTTAGCCGCGTGGGTACAAGGATTAATAATTAAAAATCCCTCAATAATCCAGATGCAGTTAACTCTCTGTGCCAAGAGAGAGAGAGAGAGACAGAGAGGGAGAATATGACATGCTTTCATTTTTTAATTCTCAGATTTATTGAAGAGACTTTCTGTGTCTGTTATCCTGGTTTAACTTGACACTAAACACTGCCTAATGAACTCAGCCTGGTTACATGTAACAGGTTCATAATCTCTCTTTAACACAAACTGCTGGTTGGGCTAATAATTACAATCTTGTTAACACCCTGACTATCCTAAAAGGCTGAATGACTGGATGATAAATATTTAAAAAGAATCTTTTTATTTGATGATTATATTCAATATATTTATATACATTTTAAACAACCATTATTAAATTAATTTTAAATTCATATTTTAATGCAAGAAGTAAAATACAGTTATGATTAATTAAGGCACATTTTCCAGTAAACCAGCACAGGGAAGAATAATATTTGGTCACTTTTATTTATATTCACTTAAATAACAAATATTATTAATATTATTATTATTTACCTTAATAAGATTAATTAACCAAAACAAAATATTTCTATTAAAACATTTTGATATATTAAATATTTTACACAGGGACTTTTGTGTGCTTAAATTAAGTTTTGAATTGATTCACTGACTGTTTGAAATGATTCATGGAAATGAATCAATCTTTTACTTTCATTTATATGAACCAATATAACAATAAACAACATTAACCAAAATTTACTATTATTTACCTAAGATTATTCATTAATTTAAAACAGAAAATTCAATCAAATAAATATTACTAAGCAAATATAAAAATATGTTTTTTACAAAAATATTTAGATATATGAAAAGTGTTACACAGGGACTTAAGTGTACAAGTTTAAATAATCTCAATCAAATATTGTGAAATTAGTCTAATGACTAGCCCTCAGAAAACTTACTTTACATAAAATTAATAAACTTTACCAAATAAAAGCACATTGCAATATATATCATGTTGCTCAATTTTATAATCATGGTAAATACTTACTTTACTTTACTTTATTTTATTGTCATTTTAACAGAGTTCCAATGAAATTCTCAGTGGCACAATCCAGTCTGCAGCATATCATTAAAATCAATAATGAAATACAATAAAATAACAAATGTATTAGTATAAAAATAAAGAAATAAAGTCTAATAAAGTCTAATCACAGAATTCACAGACAGCATTAAGAGAAGCTACTGCTCTTGGATAAAAGCTATTATACTATTTTAAATACATTGTGAATATTAGATATATCGCTCAGTCTTATAAAGCAGCAGCCTAAATAAGCTGTGCTTTGCCTGATGCAAAAAACAATGACCAGATCAGCACTGAGAGATGTGGTTAATCATCTGTACATTTAGCAGTAATGTACCACCACATCATCTGACTCAAGTAAACAAAAGCTGCTTATAATCATCAGATCATCTGACCCGCGTAAACAAGCCCTATCCGCATGCTTCCTGAGAGCTTTAGCTTAAATTAGGGAGTCTGGTGCTTGGCTGGAGAGAAAAATTCTGTGAGAAAAATCTAACTCGACAGCCTGGATTTCCCCTCAACGCTCTTCTCTTAAACGGCTATTAATTGGTCAACTAGAAAGACAAGCAATTAACATCACTCATCTATCCTCACTCATCTATCCTCTCCTCTTCGTTTCTGTACTGAGAAGGGATTTTTTTAAGGGTTCATCTATGTCAAGTGCTGCTTTGGCATAAACACTTCAGCCCATGAAGCAGAAGCAGCTATCAGCTCCCACATGCGTATAGACCCAAGAGACAAGCCTGTCTGAGAGGTGAGAGTCTGGTTAATGAACGAGAAAGAGAGAAGAGAGAACATCAGGTGTTATTAACAGACCTGCCAGGGAAATGTAGAGCCGGTGTAATGAGAAAGTACTTTAGCACAGCCCATGTTTCAGGAAGGGTTGTCTCAGCCTTACACGAACCGTGACTGTTCACTGAACTACTCACAGAAAACTAGAAAAGTACTTCACAGAAAAGTACAGCTTTTTATCAATCAACCTGAAAGCTCTAGTTCATACTCATCACAGCTTTTCTAAAGGTTTGGCAATAGATAACACTAACAAAGAATAATTTCTAGTCAAAGAAATGAGTATAAATGACCTCACACTTTTGAAATTCCCTGATATTCTATCAGTTTATCCTAGTGGGGAAAAAAACACTAAAATGTATTGTAATAAATGTGTTTTGTGCTAAGTATACCACAAATACATTTACATATTTAGGAGCTTAATTAACATACCCTGCAATTACAGTTTTGCAGGAAGGGAGAGAGGAAGAGGAGGTAATCAAGATAAAGGAATAAAAAAAAAAAAAACAACAAGAAAGAACCAAAAGTGGAGCGTTTTATCAGCTCAACGGCTTGAGAGTTTGTCGGAAAGGCCCTCTGGAGCTGTTTACTTGCTATCTTCTGGTCATCTTGTTCTGAATTACTTCAGCTGGTCTATACGTAATATACTATAAAGATTTACCTAAGTGAAAAAGGTGTATGGCTAATCTATATCCCTTTGATCCACAGAGACAAGCGCTTATCTAATCATGTCATTTGGACCCTACAGGTGCAATATTTTCCAAAGCTGAAGTTGATTTTGGCAACACTGAGATGGTTATGTGCTTCTTGAGGCGGTGTATGAAAAAGAATGAGAATGTAAAGGCACTGGAAATGTGGGAAAGCTGTTAGCAGCACAAACACTTACATCATTGGTGTTGACGTGCCATGCCATGTCGCCGTAGGAAACCAGCTGTCCGTTGACATAGCAACGGATCTCGCTATTCCTCCAACGGTTGTAGATGTGGACTATGCTGATCATGTACCACTGTAGAAGAGGACAGGAAGTAGAAATGCAAGTATTCAATATTCACACAGCTCACTCAGCCAAGCATATGTAAAAGGTAGAGTAGTAAACACAGTGTTCTTTATGGAAGCCCCGTTTCCACCACAGAATTAAAAAAAAACTTTTTATCTCACAATTCTAACTTTATTTCTTATGATTCTGAGTTTATATCTCGCAGATCTGACTTTATTTCTTGTAATTATAAGTCTCTATCTCACCATCTCAAACATTTTCCTCAAAACTGCATATTCATAGCACACAATTCTGACACAAATTTGAGTTAACATCTTGCAACTCAGATTTTTCTCAGAATTGCAAATTTATAGCACGTAATTCTAACTTTACTTCTCATAATTACGAGCTTACATCTCAGAAATTTGAGTTAACATCTCGCAAATTCAGATTTTTCTCAGAATTGCACATTTACAGCCCACAATTCTGACTTTATTTCTCACAATTATGATTCAATAGCTCACAGTTTGGAATTATCATCTCAGAATTTTTTTCTCAGAATTGCAAGTTAATATCTTGCAATTTTGACTTTTTCTCAGAACTGCAAATTTATAGCACACAATTCTCATGTTATTTCTCATAATTACAAGTTTATATCTCACAATTTTGAATAAACATCTCGTAATTTAGACATTTTTTCCTCCAAATTTCATGGATGAAAGGATTCATCTGTATCATAAAATACTACTGTTTTGGTACATTTCATTTTGTATGCATATAAATTCATAAAATCATACATTTCATGATCCAGACAGACCATTTCGTCCACAAAATTATGCAGGCCACTAGGTTTGGATTGGTTATCAGGAGCACAGGGAGAAATCCCATTGGACTAGCTACTTAATTGGCCTTTTGGCCCACTTATTTTTATTTATTTATTTACTTATTTGTTATTAGGTTATATTATTGCATGCCAAAAGCCACACAGTGATTTCTAAATTCGGCATTCAATATTAAATTGATAATAAATTATCCACTAGTCTTGACATGACAGCATAAATTACCACAAAATGAAATTATTTGCAAAAACAAGCAAATTAAATACAAAGCACTTTAACAAAAGAAAAACCCTCAGTAATGCCTTGTCCAATTGGCGTACACTACATTACTGTTAACGCAATGGGATGAGGGAATTTATTTTCTGTGGTAACTGATGGCACGCTACATATAGAGTTTAAATTATACTGAACCAATCTTTCAAGCTTTGGACCAAGAAAATTCTGCGGAAATGACCCGCCCCCAAAATGAAAATGGTTCAATTTTTAGATCAAGCACATAAAACATCATCTCATTACATGCTTCTAAACCGAGAGCTAAATTTACTGAAACAGACTCATTCTGTTTGATGGCAGCAATGCTAAAAGCTGTTTTGGCATATGAATTAAAGATCAGAGCCCTGACGTTTGAAAGCGCTCCAGTGAGGAATACGTCAACATGGATCATGCAAAAGTGTCAACCATGTTTCCGTAATTCAAACAAAAAACTGAGCTCTTGTAGGGTGGAGTCCATATGGATGAGCTCTGGAAATTAGTGTGGCCCGTCAGAAATTGGGAGATTTAGTGCAAACTTCCTCAAAAGACCTAATTTCCCAAATATCCTCTCCACCTTCCTAGCATCTTATGAAAACGTAAGGTGATATTAGCTGGGGTGACAGCGGGGAAGAAAGGATAAGCTAAAATCTGCTAGACCAAAAATCCATCCCGTAACTGAGATTTCATAGCTTTTAATGCCAGTTAAGATTTTACAGAAATGCAAGAAAGGGTCATCTTCGTCTAGACGGGGCTTTGGATTTCCCAAAAACACAGCCCTAGATTAGTCTTACATTTCCGAACTTTTCCTCTGAGCTGCTGGTCTCCATTGACCAATAACAATTACACCATTTAAGTTCTGGATAGATCTTTTAGCTCAGTTCAATTCAATTACGTTTCTTTTTGTTCACATCTCCAATCCTCCCTGATCCCCTGTTTTGCTCTATTCTTTCCCTCTTTAATATCTAAGGAAGTTTAATATAAATCTAAGAGTCACTAACAAAGTGGTTGATTAAAATCCAGCCCTTCTGTCCCACCACACACAGTTTCAATAGCAGAACAAAGTGCTGACTAATTAGGTGAGTTGTGAAGTTCATTGTTAGGCTGAGTACACATTTTCTCACACTAGCGTGTGTGTGTCTGGGCGAAGGGGTATAGCTTGCATTCTAATTGGCACACAACCCTCCCTTGTCGTCCTCTTTTTTGAGCAGACAGGATGAGGTATCATGTTCAAACATCCCTTGCCAAACTTATTTTCATTTGTCGTTTAACAACGCACACGATTGAGCCGAATCCGTCCCACTGGGACAATAAGAGGAGCCAAGTTATCAAAAACCAGATGTTGCTGTATCAGCCCACTCTGAGTGAGAGGGAAAAAAAACACAGAAAGAGAGAAGAAGAAAGAGAGAGCACTAAATAGACATATCCTGAGTACTAAAAAGGAATAAGGTGTTATGGGAATAAATCCCTCTGGAACTCCCTTTGTTTCTTTTGTGCACAAGCTAACAAGTTAGAAGGGCTTCAAGTAGGGCTGACTCGGTGGACACATCAAATGTGTGCAAAGATAAAGACAGAGAGAGACAGACAGGTGTGGTTTAACACAGCTGCTGCCCTCTAGAGGCTCATCCAGTTATCTGTGCAGATAGCCTGTTCATTCACTTCTCAGGGATGAAGAAATAATCTACAGGACAATATAGAGTAATTCATATTGAATTACCATTTTAAGAGAAAAAAAAACTTTTCTATTATATTGTTGTTATATATATAATTCCAGGCAGTTACACTTCTCTCGTCACCAGAGAGAAGTCTGTCGTTTTACTAGAAGAACGAGTTATGGTATTTTGATTTTAAAAAAAAATAATTACAAGGTCAATAGAAAAAAGAAAAAGAAACTTCCAGTTATCTGTGCAGATAGCCTGTTCATTCACTTCTCAGGGATGAAGAAATAATCTACAGGACAATATAGAGTAATTCATATTGAATTACCATTTTAAGAGAAAAAAAAACTTTTCTATTATATTGTTGTTATATATATAATTCCAGGCAGTTACACTTCTCTCGTCACCAGACAGAAGTCTGTCGTTTCACTAGAAGAACGAGTTATGGTATTTTGATTTAAAAAAAAAATAATTACAAGGTCAATAGAAAAAAGAAAAAGAAACAATGCAAGAATGAATCGTTTGCAATAAGATCAATAACATGCATTTAAATAGTGTGAACTTCCATTTTATGGCATCATAAATGGGTATGCTCAATTAAAGTTACAAAATTATCCAAGAAAAGATATCTAGATTTCTAGATTGCTATGCAGTTGCTAAGGTTTTCAAGTGTTATTTATGCATAGCTATGTGGCTGTTAGGTTTACTGGCCTCTACTCAACAAAATTCATCTGAAGATCTTAAGTTCAAAAACAAAGTTAGTTCAAAATCAAACCCCCTAAAAAAAAAAAAACAGTCATTTTGATGTCACTAATAAAGGAAAAGACCATATATTAAAGGGCTCATATGACGCGATTTCATGTTTTCTTTTTTTTTTTGGAGTGTTACAAGCTGTTTGTGCATATATAAGATCCGTAAAGTTGCAAAGATTAAAGTCTCAAACCCAAAGAGATATTCTTTCTTAAAGTTAAGACTCATCCACGCCGTCCTAAAACACCTCATTCAAACACACCCCAACAAATCTACGTCACGGTTTGGGAAGATTTGCATAACACCGCTCAAATGTATACACAAAGAAAGAAGGAGTAACTTTTATTCTCGCCTACAGGACAATATAGAGTAATTCATATTGAATTACCATTTTAAGAGAAAAAAAAACTTTTCTATTATATTGTTGTTATATATATAATTCCAGGCAGTTACACTTCTCTCGTCACCAGAGAGAAGTCTGTCGTTTTACTAGAAGAACGAGTTATGGTATTTTGATTTTAAAAAAAAATAATTACAAGGTCAATAGAAAAAAGAAAAAGAAACTTAATGCAAGAATGAATCGTTTGCAATAAGATCAATAACATGCATTTAAATAGTGTGAACTTCCATTTTATGGCATCATAAATGGGTATGCTCAATTAAAGTTACAAAATTATCCAAGAAAAGATATCTAGATTTCTAGATTGCTATGCAGTTGCTAAGGTTTTCAAGTGTTATTTATGCATAGCTATGTGGCTGTTAGGTTTACTGGCCTCTACTCAACAAAATTCATCTGAAGATCTTAAGTTCAAAAACAAAGTTAGTTCAAAATCAAACCCCCTAAAAAAAAAAAAACAGTCATTTTGATGTCACTAATAAAGGAAAAGACCATATATTAAAGGGCTCATATGACGCGATTTCATGTTTTCTTTTTTTTTTTGGAGTGTTACAAGCTGTTTGTGCATATATAAGATCCGTAAAGTTGCAAAGATTAAAGTCTCCCACCCAAAGAGATATTCTTTCTTAAAGTTAAGACTCATCCACGCCGTCCTAAAACACCTCATTCAAACACACCCCAACAAATCTACGTCACGGTTTGGGAAGATTTGCATAACACCGCTCAAATGTATACACAAAGAAAGAAGGAGTAACTTTTATTCTCGCTGTAGTATTGTTGCCATCGCCGCCATGTGGTGGAGACTCAGTGTGTTTCCAAATATGGTAAGGGGCGTAACATTTCCTTCACACTCTTGAAAATAAGATCAATAACATGCATTTAAATAGTGTGAACTTCCATTTTATGGCATCATAAATGGGTATGCTCAATTAAAGTTACAAAATTATCCAAGAAAAGATATCTATATTTCTAGATTGCTATGCAGTTGCTAAGGTTTTCAAGTGTTATTTATGCATAGTTATGTGGCTTTTAGGTTTACTGGCCTCTACTCAACAAAATTCATCTGAAGATCTTAAGTTCAAAAACAAAGTTAGTTCAAAATCAAACCCCCTAAAAAAAAAAAAACAGTCATTTTGATGTCACTAATAAAGGAAAAGACCATATATTAAAGGGCTCATATGACGCGATTTCATGTTTTCTTTTTTTTTTTGGAGTGTTACAAGCTGTTTGTGCATATATAAGATCCGTAAAGTTGCAAAGATTAAAGTCTCAAACCCAAAGAGATATTCTTTCTTAAAGTTAAGACTCATCCACGCCGTCCTAAAACACCTCATTCAAACACACCCCAACAAATCTACGTCACGGTTTGGGAAGATTTGCATAACACCGCTCAAATGTATACACAAAGAAAGAAGGAGTAACTTTTATTCTCGCTATAGTATTGTTGCCATCGCCGCCATGTGGTGGAGACTCAGTGTGTTTCCAAATATGGTAAGGGGCGTAACATTTCCTTCACACTCTTGAAGTATTTGGCCAATCACAATGCACTGGATAGCTGGCCAATCAGAGCACACCGTGCTTTACAGAACAATGAGCTTTGTAAAAATCAACGCGTTTCAGAAATGCGGGGCAGAGAGGAGCAAAAATAATGTACGGTGTGTGGAAAATAATGTGTTGTTTGAACCTTAAACCGCATTACACAAAATACACAAAATAATGTTCTTTTTAGCAACGTCATATGACCCCTTTAACACTGTTCAACCCTCCAATGTACTCTAGATACTCTAGTCTACTTGTGTGTGTAGACAGGTCAAAACTCACCTTCCTAGGCTGGAAGTCGTACTTCACACAGTGTTGAAAGCCTTTCCCCTTTGACTTCAATGATGTCACAATTAAACAGTTCCCCACAAAGTGTGCTGAGTAGCCAATCCCTTTGCTGGTTCGAAAACTAGGGGACAAACAAAAGAGAAAGAACTGACTCTATGAAAACAACAAAACAAAGAAAAGAGGCAAAGAAATGGCAAAATGAGGCAGAAAATGCAACAACAAAAAAACGCAATATGAAACAATATTTTTACATTTTAATGGAAACTTGCCCACTCCACAGGTTTTCTTTCAATATGAATCAACAACCACCCCATCTTTTATTTACAATCTTCTTTCATCTTATATTTGCTCTGCCTTAAACAACTCAAACACTTTTGTTATTCAGGCCATGCTACAGAACAATTTGATTTCAACATGTTTTCCGCAAAAAAATGAACTGAACTCTTATAGTCAGATGTGAAAACTCTGTGAAAATATGGAGGGAGAATGTCAGGCTTTATTCTTGGCGGGAAAACAAACATGGCTGACTGAGTCATTGGCAGCAGAGATTGCTGGGAGCGCTGGCTGCTGTCGATAAGGTGACTGGCTATCAGTCGGGCCTCAAAGCGGTGCTGTTTCTCTCGCTCTGCGCCTACACGGCTACATAATTCTATGCTGAGCTCACCACGGTAACACAGAAACAGGAAACGGGATTACATGCTGATTTAAGCGAGGTCAGTGGCCCTCAGACTTCTGAAGTGGTAATCTGTACCTTCAGTGTCTGCAAATGCTGCTACCCCAACATGGAGGATATACTTTATTAGCTGTTACAAATATTCAAAAAGGCCTCCTGGTGATACAAGTGATGTTGTAGAAACGTGTGTGCAAATTCATTTCAGTTTCAGCAGTTATTCGTTTTATTAATTTTAATCATATTACATGTAATTATTCAGGGCATCCTTAAAGCCAATATATTCAGTGTATTCAAGTCATACATTTATAGTATGTCTCTTTCCTGGGAATCAAACTCGTGACCTTGGCACAGTTAGCGGCATGTTGAGGTACAGGAAATTTGCATGTAAAATTAAATTACATCTATGTATACTAAGAACTAATTTTGCTGGACTTGTCTGCAACCTTCAACACATTAAACCAACAGATCATCCTATCTGTTCTCTTGACAGCGAGCATAATGGGAACTGCACTCCACAAGTACTGTAGGTCCTTCGGGGTATCTTGAAGGGGATTACGAGTGTTTTTGTGAAAGAAACCCAGACTAACATCAAAACCAGACCAAAGAATGAAATGCTACAGAAGTGTAGAATACGGCATTAAAGTGTAGCACTGACATTCAATAAAAGGTCAAAACTAACAAGGATCCTCAAGGCTACTCTGCAAGGCATCTCCAGTTTATGACGCTGGTTTCTTTTCAAAAACAACCAGAGGTTCTTTGGAGAATCTCCTATGACATTTAGGAATTTTGTGAATTCATCTAGTTTGCCCTCTGGTATGGCAGGCTTTTCTTGGTTACTGGAAAATAGGGCAGGGCTCATCACTCCTAAATTAGCAGTCTCTTCTTGTGGGCCAGCCCTGTAGAGACACTTACTACTTCAAACAGAAATGGTAATATAATATTTCATATGCGCAGATCTCCCGTGTTTCCACCACGCTGAGAAGCTTGAGGCTCACAGGTGTTGGTCTAGGTCGCTCAGAGCTTCAGCTCTGAAACCAGTCCTGGCATTTACATTTTAATGACTGACGACTGGTCAGCATTAAGCCGTACCATTACCTCTACACATCCTAATGTGCCACACACATTATACTCACCAGTATAAGTATGGTTTATCCTTGTCTACATTGATATTATTGAGTGGGTCCATTCGGAACCATGTGTTGAGAGTGAATCCATTCTGGTAAGGCCACTTAGCAATGGGTGGCAAAGCAATGGCCTGCCGGGGGGCAAAACACAAGGAAATTAGAAGATGCAAATTTGCACAATCATAGGAACAATGAAAATAACATTTGCAGAATAAGCTGACCACTATATACAAATCGACCTTGGTTCAGTGGTTACTACTCTGGGTTAAATACAATTTGCGCTCTAATAACAGCATTTGTGGCATAGTGTTGATTACCACAATATTGTCAGATAATTTGAGATAATGATTCTCTCAGATTGTACAAAACAAAAACATTTATGCCCTTGCAGTGAAAGGCTACAGGAAGCCATGCGGATGGTAGAGGGCAGAAATGTGAAGCTTGTAACATGAATTATTATATACTGTATATATATATATTGTATTCATAAATATATAATTTAGATACACTACTTTTTAAAAGCCTGCTAGGATATTTTAAAGTATTCAAAAAAGCAAGACTGCATTTATTTGATCAAAATTGTTTTCTATTTTAATATATTTTAAAATTAATTTATTCATATGACAGCAAAGCTGAATTTTCAGCATTATTACTCCTTCAGAAATCACTCTTATATGCTAATTTGGTGCTTAAGAAACATTTATTATTATTATTAATGTTGAAATCAGGAGTGCTGCTTCATATTTTTGTGAAAACTGTGATACATTTTTTTCAGGATTCTATTATGAATAGAAAGTTCAAAAGAACAGCATTTATTTGAAATAGAAATCTTTTGTAACATTATAAATATCTTTACTGTCACTTTTGATCAATTGAATGCAGCCTTTGCTGAATAAAAGCACTAATTTCCTTAAATTCTTGCATACAAAAAATGCATATTAAGCTGACAAAGTGCAGAAAAAATGTAGAATATTTAGAACACTCTCTTTTTAAATGATTATTATCATTGTTGGTGTTCTATAATTCTGACACGAGTCTCATGCTCATACCTATAAAGCCTGGAATGTATAAGTTTTATTGTAAAAAGTGTGGGAGACTCACCGCCGCACTGCGTCCTGGGAAGTTGAAGAAGGTGTCAGGGCCGTGCCGCTGAGGCATCTGATTCAGAACAGATAGGAGCTTAATGGCGTGTCTTGGCTATAGGCACAGGACACATGGAGGAAGGGAACAATTAAGAGAGGACATTGTAATTAGTGAGAGAGAGAGGGATGAAAGGAAACGTGTTCTAATGAGAGAAGACTTTGAAAACAGAGAAAAAGATACATACGTTCAGGAGTTAAAAATAAATTATTTTAATAGTAACCATTATCAATGACCCAACAAAACAACCACTACTTGAGCCAATCAATAACCTGTCCATCAGCCTCAACCACGGCAGCACAGCTGAAATCGATACACGGCAAACCACAAACAGAGGCGTCCGTGGGGAAGACTGGCGGACAGGAGATCATTGGCTGGGCTTGTTGGAGGTCTAGCTAATGATCTGCAGATTTTTATGAGCTTCGAAAACATATTTTAGCATTAAAAGTAGCTCCTTGTTTTTAACAGCCACCGAAGCCACAGCATCCAGTCGGTGGCAAAGGGGCAAGAGTCTATGGTGCAAGAAAACTCACCCACACGCCTCCGTCGCCCCTCAGCATGCTGAACAACAGCTTCAGTTCCTTGACTGTGATACTATAGCTGGCCAAGACCCCCAGCATGTCCACTAAGAGATCTGAGGAAGACAGAAAGAAGAGAACAAAATGACTCAGCATTATCGGCGCACAGAACTGCCGACTCATGAGGATGATGTCACTTGGGGCAAGAAGCCAATCGTTATCTTTCTGCTGGAACATTATCTACCGCATGTTCTCCTGAGGCTCCTTTAGTCATCAGATCGCATGGAAACGCAAGTCTATTCATTCACATATTGGCCGTAATGGCTCGGTGTCAAAGCGTCTGCTGATGTAATTTGCGAAACATCTGCGTTATGAATTTAGAAGCTCTTTAAAGCGCTGCGTGAGACATGAAATAATCTAATTTCGAGAAAAATAACAACCCCTCAGCAGTGGTTTGTCGTGGCGTAATATCATTGTAATTTGATTTAGAAAATAACCCAGTTATACGCCATTCACTCAAAGGCCACAAATTTGGTCAAAAATGGACAGAAGCTGGAAGCGTATGAGAACTAATAGTCTGATTAGCAGCGGCATTTTCTAAAACGTGGATCTGTCTAAAGAGCGGTAGGAGAGAAGCTTTCTCCCAAATGTGCTCACAGAGCCAATTTTACACATTACCCCTGCAATAAACGACGGCCATGGTCCACTGATCACAATTACACAGAAATATTGGACACAGAATGCACAATGAGGGGTTTAGCGAGACTATTTTTCTGAAACGTAACGGAGCCAAATCATAGAGGATCGGAACATATGGATGGGCATGTGATACAACAAAGATTAGCACAGAAATTACTGATTCTTTTCTCTTTGGTGAACTGGATTTTTAGTTGACTGAATTATTTGAACTGAAAGCACTGATGTAAACAGTAGACGTGTTCAGAACCAAAGTGCCTTGAAATCAGGGGGCCCAGGACAAAATGTGGGGTCTTTGCACTGCTACAAAAAGTACTATATTGGCATATATTGTATACCATGAAAAGGCTTATTTACAAAGACGTGGCATAAACACTATAAGACAGGGAGCAGAATTGTGGAAAATAATAAACTTAAAATCACTGCACACGTAAAACATAATTATTAATTGTGACGCACAAACTGACAGAAAATAAACCACACACTGGTTGACAAAGGCAGAGTTTAAGACATTTATTTTACACACAACCAAAACCACCAAAATATGCTGTAATACTCTAAAAAATGCTATTATTATTATTATTATTATAAATATGCTTTATGTTTTAGAATAATGTGTATCATTAATAGTAATAATAATAATAGATATCTTCTGTAATATTTATATTTATTATTATAATATTTACTGTTTTATTTTTATTATATAATAACAATAATATTTAAATAGTTTATTAATAATAATAATAATATTAAAAACAATACAATGAAAAAATAAATAAATAAATTTATATTTATTGTAATATTTATACTATTTACTATTTATACTATAATATAATATTTATTATTGTAAATATGTAATATTCTTTAATAACAATAATGTTTTATTATTATTGTTAATATTAAAAATACTACTGCACATACAAAAAATATAATAATAATAATATATCTTCTGTAATATTTACAACTTATTTTTATAATAGTACTACTACTAATAATAAACATTATTTATTATTATAAAAAAAATTATGTTTATTATTATTAGTAGTATTATTATAAAAATAAGAATAAAATAATATGAATAATAAAAACAACAAATTGATATTTATTGCAATATTTATAATATTATTATAATATTAACTTTTTATTTAATAATAATTATTAAAATAATGTTTATGAATAATAATAATAATAACAATAATATTAAATGGATAATTATTGTAATATTTATACTATTTATTATTGTGCTATTTAATGTTTTAATAATAATAAAATAATGTTTATTATTATTGTTATTATTAAAAATACTACTGCTAATACAAAAATATAATAATAATAATAATAACAATAATTATAACAATATTTTTTCACTATTCACTGTTCCCAGGACAATGTTCCTGGTTCCAGGTTATCCTGCCTGTTGAGGGCCCTGGGCAGATATTCTTTTTGTTTATAACAGTTTATTTGAATTTACAATTTATTGTTATTTGACTAGTAATAACTAGTCAACAAACATGGATCCTGTGAAAGCATCTGGCGACGCTTTACTTTAGAGCTCACCTGCAATCATGTCGTCGACGGAGCTCATCTTCTGCAGCACCTGCTGGATGAGCCCCACCTCGGTGCTGGTCTGTAGGTTGCGAACGCTCTTCCGCAGAATAGCTGTGAACATGCTCCAGATCTCCGCCTGGCAGGTGACGTCACAGTGCTCCAGCAGCTCCACCATGCAGGCGATGCTTTCCGCGTCCTGGATGATAAAGTTCATCTCCAGGTCGAACTCTCCACCCACCAGCTGAGAAGGAAAGACAGAGCCAGTGTTAGTCACAAATGGAAAATGTTTACATTGACGAACTGTATATTTTCAATCAACCATAATTAAAAAGAAAAACACATCACGGTGATACAGACCATGGTTAAACAAAATATGTTGTTATATAAAATATATTGCTGACAAAATATGATAAGAAAAAAATTATGGTAAGTTTTTGTACATTAAGGTGTTTAATGTGATTTAAGTCAGAGTAAAATTGCCAAGAACTAACTAACTAAATAAATAAATAAATGGATGGAAATAGGTCAAGTTTATTTATAGAGCATTTTATACAATACAGACAGCTTAAAACAGCAGTAATAAACAGTAAAACCAGCATCAGTGACACAAAATTCAAACAGGAATAAAATCATTTCAGTTATAATTACAATTCATTTTCAACTGTAAAGCAACTCTACAGAATACAAAACAGTGTCATTAATCACAATTTAATTGAATTATTCAATCATCTTATTCAATAGGTATGGGGAAGATTGATGTAGGACACAAGGTGGATGAGATGGACAGACCAAAGTAATAAGGACATAAAAAATAATGAAATTAGAGAATAATTTGAACAGAAAAGGCAATTGGAAAGGTCTTGAGAGTGCAGTGAATGTGGGAAGAAAAGCAAAGGAAACAAATAATACAGAGAGAATTATTAAAAGAGCAGTTTTTGAGGTTGCTTCCGTAGAGAGCAGCACTCTCAGCCTGACAAACAATGATTGTTATTTGAGAGGGTCATTTAATGTCGGGGTAGAAAGAACATAATGACCTCATACACACACTTACGTACCCCTCTACCTCTCAAACAACACACTGGAGAGGAAAGGAACCGACAAACCAATCAGAGATGGTTCCTGCTCTGCAGCAAACAATAATCAATGGCATCGGTCTTGGAGTTCAACAGGCATGAAATTGGCCAGCTCCTGGCTATGCAAATGCCAAACCCCTAAGTAAATAAGCAGGTGATTTGGAAAATAAAGGCTGAAATGCCTGTAAACTACATTTCGGTGTGAAGCCGAGGTGCAGAACTTCTTTAAGGGTGCAGTGGGAGAACTATTGATTTTCACACTTCATTCAATAGTCAGATTTGGAACGCTCTGGCGCTTTAGAACCTTTTGTAATTGGGCCGTCGATAACCTTAGCACATGTAATTGCCCCGTGCCACTCACCTTAACCGAACATTCACCTTGATTATTTCTATTATCCATGTGAGGACCTTAAACATGACTTTACCATTATCGAGTAAAGCAGGGGTCTTTTTTGAGTCAGACCATCAAGATCAAGATTGTAAGATCCACTACTGCTTTTATTCACTATATACTAGCCTTAAAAAGTCTTCTCTGCAAGTATGTGAATGCTTCTAGCGATGCAAATTTGATTTCATGCGTCACTGTGTTCAAACGTGTCAGAATGCATTAATTGTGTTCTCAGTGCCGCAGGGTTCGTCAGCATTAGCATAAACTGTCTTCTATGGTCATTTTTCTCCTTTAGGTCATCAACTGTCATTATGGAGACACAGAATCTTGATAGTTAACTTTAGTTCACAATGTGTTGGGCGATTTGCTCCATAGTCATATCGTCCTATCGTTAGCCTGTGAAATCGCCAATACACAATATTATCATGCTAATTTATTGAATTATTTACTTGCTTGTTTTATAGCTGGCGAGTGAACCAACTCCAGGGCAAGGCTAAAGGTAGCTTAATGTTAGTGTCATTTATTAACTACACATTATATCATTTTAGTCAAGCAGTATATGAATGTACTAAAATATTTTTAATATGACTGAATTTGTTTTTAACATGATCATTTAATACAAACACTAAGTTATTCAAACAGCAGCTACAGAAAACGACCAATGAAAATTTACATTATCAAAGAACATCATCACTGATACACTGACTAAATCTCTTAAAGGAACACTCCACTATTTTTGAAAATAGGCTCATTTTCCAACTCCCCTAGAGTTAAACAGTTGAGTTTTACCGTTTTCGAATCCATTCAGCCAATCTCCGGGTCTGGCGGTAGCACTTTTAGCTGTAGCTTAGCATAGATCATTGAATCTGATTAGACCGTTAGCATCTCGCTCAAAAATGACCAAAGAGTTTCTATATTTTTCCTATTTAAAACTTGACTCTTCTGTAGTTACATCGTGTACTAAGACCGACGGAAAATGAAAAGTTGCGATTTTCTAGGCCGATATGGTTAGGAACTATACTCTCATTCCGGCGTAATAATCAAGGAACTTTGCTGCCATACCATGGGTGCAGCAGGCGCAATGATATTACGCAGCGCCTGCATGCGTACAAATGGAAGTCAATTGAACGAAAGGTGCAGTGTGACCGCCCCCTTTGTACTTAAGGTCCTTGCACACGGAGTCCGAAATTTTTGTATGCGGTTTTTTTTTTTTTGTCGTATTCGTCATCCTTTCCTCTCAAAATGAATGCTACGGATGCGAGAAACACAGAAAATCGAACCTGATCCGAATTTTATGACGGACAACAGTTTCGGAGGTGTTGTGTAAATGTGATTGACACAACGTGAGGTTGTATTTATTTTTTATCGTGCCAACATTTCGGACTCCGTGTGCAAGGACCTTTACATCGCATGTAGTTTATAATAATAATAATAACAATAATAAAAAATAATAATCAATGTTGCTTTCGTCAAAGGCATCAGCCACAGGCGAAATCTTTTTGAGGAGATTAAGCTGGTATGATCTGTTCTTCCAGACGGTTGAGACAGGATTTGTTCACAAGTGTTTCCACGGTATCATTCCATTAAACTATTTACTATCCATATAGTGCAAACAGAAGGACAACAGGGATGACAATCCAATTGACTTGTCATGGTTCATCACTCCCAGAGGCCTTTAGCGAATAGATGATTAATTACGAGATGTTTACTCATCAATAATTGCCTTTGAAACCCAGAGAGATCATGGGTAGTTTAGTGAACAACAAAAAAACTTAAGCTTTCAAGCAAATGGTTTCTAACAGGGAAACAAAATAAACACGCTTTTTGCAGTTAGATAGCCCAACATAAAGTCTTCAACTCCATACACTAAAATTTTGTACATAATCAGTACTCTTCACACAAGGATGCAGTATAACAAGCATAGACTTGTTTACCTCCTACACATGTCGCTTATGGGATCAAACAGACTTGCACAAACACAAAAAGACCAAGGATAATACTAGTTTCTTTTTTACCCTTGAACACTGGCAGTGGTGTCAAACACTATTTTTAAGCAACAGCAGAATGCAGGAGCTGTAACAAAAAGATCAGACAGAGCACGGTACAGCCTCCAGCACATTAGCTCACAATCTCCTCACCACTTCGGTCATGTTTTATTACAGTGGGAACAGACTTTATCTGTTTAAGTTAATCATGGCAGATATGGCGGATGGGATCGGGAAACAATCCAAGCCAGATACGCTACACACCAGGCCACATCTTTGACCAATGTGTCGATTTTATCTGGAAAATTGAATTTTTAGAACATTTGCTCATCCGCAATACAGCGCCGAGGCATTCCCTGTCTGATGTTAGAACGTCATGCAGCAGATGCTCCGAGACATTTATGATTTCACATGTTTCTCTCAATTTGCCGTTTTAAAAAATGTTTATCAGATGTTTATACATTAATATGATGCTGAAATCTGAACGGAATAAAAGAAGAAATGAAAGGAATGTTAGATGTAAGAGCACCCAAGAAAAAAAAAACATGCACTTCAGCAATGAAATAAAGCAAAGAAACATTCAAACAAACAGCAGGGAATATTTAAGGGAAAAACTATGAATGACTGACTTGAAAGTACTTGAATACTTGTAGTTGTCTCTGCACATTAAACATCAAAAATAAAATACAAAACACTTCAGCATTAAAATAAATTAATAAAATGAGCATTCAAATACAGCATTAAAAAAGAGCGACATAGCAAGGAAGATTTGTGTTGGAAAAATACCTATAAATGACCTTAGAGTATACTTACAGTTGCCTTTGCACATTGAAAAATAAAATATAATACAATAAATCAAAAAAAAATAAAAAAAATAAATATAAAACAATATACAAAATAAAATATTATTTTTTAAATATTTAAAAATATTAAAATTAACAGCATTTTAACAGGGAAATTGGGGAAAATGAACGGCAGATTTACTGTTGTTTCTGTTTTTACATTTGTTTCTGCATATTAAGTCTCTATGGTACACAATATGATATTAATGAGGAAAAAATTACTTGTGATGTTTTTCCTGCTTAAAATCGTACACTATAACAATATCAATAAACATTTTCATTTCACATGTACCACAACGGACAAACTGAACTATTTGACCTTTTCATGCAGAAAAAAAGAAATATATTTAATGAAAACATTAATTTCTTTAAACAAACATTTGAACAAACCTATTTACAGTATCTATTATTTATTACATATAACAATATTTATTACAATATGTTTTAGATAACACACTGTCTCACAGTCATCCCAAAACGTACACGATGTGCTAACAGGGAAAGGCTGATTTTCAGCCCCCAGAGCTTTAGCTGTATGCTAATATATGACATGCTAACTCATTGTCAGAGATTATACTCCGTGCAGCACTAAAGCAGTTAGCAACAAATTATTTTTCCACCGGGCCCCCTTCCTCTACTCCCACCCACTCCAAATAATCAATTACTATCCAGACAGACAGTTGTGTTTGGAAGCAAGCTAATTCATCTCGAAATGAAACAAGCCACAAGCCCAGTAATAAAAGGGGGGAGAATGTGATTTGCACAGGTTTTTTGTTTTTTTCCGAGCTGAAAAACAACTTGAAGCAATGCAATCAGCAAATGAAGCAAATCACAAGTGCTCTTAAGTGCTAAATTACTCAACAGATAACGCGATGCATGTAGTAAAGCACATGCCAGTGACAAAAGAATGTCTCCAGGTTGGTGGTTAATCAATTAATTGATTGATTTTTCTT